CATCTTCCTCAACATTTTACTTCCCATCCTTAAGCTACTACTTTTTTCTTCAACCAGATAAGATTAAAGTTTTTCTTTTTTCTTTTCCGATTCAGCTAATATTATACTTTTCAGCCTATGTTGTGAACTTTGGCTTCATTCTGCTCTCTTTCTGGACAGGAATTAAGCTTTTCTGTTTGCTGCTAATTCATAACATGCCTGACATGTTTCTGAAAAGTAGGTGCCCCCTCTTCAAAATTTCTTTAGAACTTTTTCTAGAAACTTGGGAGACATTATATTAAGACCCTTCTAGTGTCCACATTGAAGACATTTTTTGATATCATGTATGGTTTGGCTGTGAAGCTTTTAAGATGAGTTTGTTTCTGCCATTTTACTGCCAAATGATTCTACCCTACAAAATCCTCAGTTGATTCAATTGTTTTCTGCAGTTTGAAGTTTCTGATGACTTCCTATCACATTTTCATATGTTCCTCAGCTAATTTGTGCTTCTTTTCCTTCTCACAGTTTCTTTAGCTAATTTTTCTTTTTTCATTCAGCAAAAAAAGCATTCCCACTTTGCTGTTTCTGTGAAACAGCCTTTTCTAGTTCCATCTGGGATCTACTTGTAAGATTTGTAGGGTCTAAATGACCTGTGTTCTTGGAGGTTTTCTGTCCTGTTTGGTATTTTTCATCTGTTGACATTTTAAAGTGCATGTTAGGATGATTTTCTATAGTTAATGTGCAGTCTGCTCTATCTGAGCAACTATTTTTGTTGTTTGTTCAAAACCTGATAAATACCATATGGTCAGTTCAGCTGCACTATAACTACCTCCAGTGATTATTACATATTTCAGTTAATGTTTGGAGTAAGAATGTGATTTTGTTGCAGGAAAATCTGTTGCTAACCTTCAGATCTGAAGCCTCAGAAATCTGTTTCTTATTTTGCCTGTGACTATTTAAAACAAGGAAATTACTTTATTCCCCAGTTTTATAAAGTCCATTGAGAAGTGAGAAGCTTTTTTTTTCTGTAGTCTAAAGAAGGATTTTTTTTTTGTTGTTGCCTCAAACAGACAATAATGGCATAAACTCACCTGATTTATTTAAAATATTTCTGTACCAGACCCCAGCATTGGGCAGACAGACCCTTTCCCTCTCTGCTCGCCTCCTCTTCAGAACTTCAGGTTGGCTATTTAAGCTGTGAGCCTGTCTCAGACCAAACTGGGTGTATCCAACATAAAGCCCCACATTGCTGTCAAATCTGAGAAACTCCACCTTGTTGTAAATGTAGGAGTAGATGTACTGGATGTCCTTCAGCTCAGTGGAGTTAAACAGACAGTGGAACTCTGAATGGACTACAAAACCACCTGGAAGAGAAGGAATGTAGATTTTCTGGTTAATAAAAAACATTTGAAAATAAATGATAATAATAACTAGGCTTAACAGCACAGCAGTTTTAGATTCCCTTTGCCTTTCCAACATGCCATAAAACCTGTTTTATAGAGCAGTTTGTCACAGTAACGATGACAAGATTGAAATCGAAAAATTAAAAATGACTCAGACGTTTACCGGATTTGCATTCAGTTCCTAGAATTTGTTTTCTTGATCTTTTATTAGATAAATAACCTGAACAATATAGAACAGTTGGCTGTATAGATCCTGAAGCCATCCGCTTACTTTTAGTATGCTGGTATTTTGTTAAATAAAAATACATAATTCTTCAGGCCAATAATATGCATAAATCTAGACCTGCATGTCGTTTTTTTATCTAGCTGTTTTCTGGGTAAACTGAAACACTGCCAAGGTTGAAATCTAGACAAGTCATTTTACCTTTGATCTTGAATTGAGCTGGTAAGTGAGACACTTTCCCAAAATAAGAAAACAGAACTGCATAATATTATTTAATTACGGGTACTTAAGATTTTTTTCTAATTTTTTTTAAGCAAGTTTTTGGATTTTTTTAATACTTTAAATGCATAGTTTCCCTTCTTTGTTGTACCGGGGATTCTAAATAAACCTTTACCAGCATTCATTGCATTCTTCCTGAAATTATGGACTAACTTCCTCATGCTAAAGACATACAGATATGTTTTCACTTGGTTATTTCATGGAGTCAAGTTTTTCAGTGTAGTTCTCATGTGTTCCCTCTGCTAAGTAAAGGTGCATACATTTAATATGAGTAATTTAACTTACCGTTTGGATTAATAAAGTACTTTTGAATTGAATTACGTGGAATTATTTTATATTGGAATTCCCTTGAGGCATGAAGGTACAACCACAAGCTCTTCCATCAGTGCATTTAAAATGAGTTGGATTATCTTAATACGTTTATTGGCCTAAACTTAAATACCTTCTAAAGTGCGTAACTCTACATCAAATCCCACAACCGGACTGATGACGAAGATCTAAGTTGTAACACAGACTGTGTATCTACCATTTACAAATAGAAACAGACAAACCCTTTACTGTCACTTATTATCTTCATTTCTTTTTTTTTATCAGGTTTAATTTTAGATCATGTCATTCAGAGTCTCCACTGGGTTTTGATTAGACACTCCTTACAAGTTAGATCCATAATGCCACAGAGTGAGAAGGTTAGCTGTGGTGTAACTAGATATATGTATATAAACATCCCACAAAAGTCATCATTTTTTTATCTTTCATTTTGTTTCCAGAAAATAACCTCAACACCCCCTTAAATTCCACAAGAACAAGATTGAATGTTCCTACCTACTATCTCGATGGGGATAAAGACAAGGAGAACTCGTAGAAGAGACATTATCGTTCCCCGCCTTGGAACACTTGACTGGTATGATTTAGCTTGTTAGAGCTTGAAAAACAGAAAAACTGATCACATGACTGCTGTGGCATCTGATACCTGCGTCATTAAAAAAAGAAAAAAACTTCCTTTTTTAAACTGAAAATACTATTTGTAGTTGGGTAAACCTGAAAAACTGAGGACCTGATCTTCAAACATTCAGAATAAGGGATCCTAAATTGCACATTTATGTTTTTTGTAGTAGCAGATGTCCTAAATGCCCATGTTGAGGGTGATGCAGAAAGAGAGCTGAACAGACCGGTTTGGTAACATCCATTAAATGAGCAGATTGCGTACAGGCAGCTCAGAGTGGCTGTAAAGGAAAGATGAGGTTTCAAATAATAATTATACCTCCATATCAGCCGATTACTCCAGTCTTTGTTCTGTCCCACATATATACTCTACCTTTGCAGTTCCTCAGTGCTGCTCCTTGTTGTTACTCTGCCACTCGTGTTTTTTTGCCTGGCATCGCCCGGTTTTTGGTTTTGTGTATTTTGTTCCTGGATTTGTGTTTCTGTTGCCGTCTTCAATAAATCAGCAAAACTCATCTCTACATTTGGGTTGTCAACGATCCTCCACCCTACCCTGACAATATCAGCAAAATCAAGCCCCGACGCATTTAAATTCAGTTTGATTTACCAAATTATCTATTAAGAGATTCAAATTACAGCCATTAGAGTCACATTTTGGCCCAAAATATAATCTGTGCATCTTCAAAATAATACATGGTTGTGTTGTGATTGGAATACATGTGCTCTACTAGGCCCATAGAATATGCAAAGGAGACACCAGTTTGGACGCTCTGCTCTGGATGCTTTGACAATCAGGATGTTCTGTGCTCTTGATTTTCAATGCTGTGGATGCTCTACGCTCTTGACGCTTGACACTGTTGATGCTCGGCGCTCTTGATGCTCGATGCTCTAGATGCTTTGACGTCCCTGGATGCTCGGCGCTCTGGATGCTTAGAGGCTCTTGATGCTGGACACTCTTGATGCTCTGGATGATTCGACACCTTGGATGCTTGACACTCTGGATGCTTAGAGGCTCTTGATCCTCAACACTTGTGATGCCTTGGATGCTTTGACACCCTGGATGCTCGGCACTCTGGATGCTTAGAGGCTCTTGATGTTCGGTACTCTAGATGCTAGACGCTCTGGACGCTCGGTGCACTGTTTTTTTTTTTACCTGCTCTGTTCTGTAGCTTCAAGCTAGAGAGCAGTTTGGCTTTATTTAATTTATGAGTTAAATATCATCAGTTCATCAGGATTATAATCCTATTAAAATGTCCAGACCTCCAGCATACCAACGGGAGGCAGTTCTGGAAATCCCAGCTGAAAGCTCTCTGCTGCAGCCATCCTGTGGGAGATTTCCTGCTGCTGTTTGTAGCAGCTGGAAGTGAATAGAAAGAGCTTTGAAGGTTTGTGTTAAAAACTGCAAGAACCTTAATATAGAATCCAATATTTTTCATCAGCAGGTTTTAACATTTCTAGTTAAAGCTGAGGTACCCACGTTATGTTCTTCAATTTAAAAACCTATTGTAAAAGTAATAATTTCAGAAAAAAAAATGTATCTGCACCTTAGAATTATTTTGGTAAAACTGAGACTAAGTCGTGGTGTCAAGCCCTGCAGCTCCATCAACCGACTTTAGAGAAAAGTTGAACTAAAATGTAATTTTGATTCAGCCTTATACACAGAGCCAGTCTACCTGGTTACTGATGACATCACTTAAACCAAGCCCCTTGATTGGCTGGTAGGAAGCCAAGGTTAGCAACCAGGTGCTGCTACACCTCAGATGACAGACCTCAGCTGATGGAGAATATGGAGCTGTTTTTTCTCCTCTGTCTGGTTCTCTGTGTTTCATCTGATGGTAAAGATCTGATCTACTCAAATACTTATTTTGGTCACAATGATTACCTGCTTTAAATGTACGGTTTTTGTTCTCTTGTCAGGTCTACATGACAGTTTCAGGTTTATTGCGTGTACAGACACTGAAGGGTTCAACATGATAACACTGGATGATGAAGAAGTTTGGCACGCTGACTTTATCCAACAAAAAGGAGTTGATACCATGCCAGACTTTGTCAGCCATCCAAGCACTGAGGGATTATTTGAGCAATCTGTAGGTCAACAAGAACTCTGCAAATATAACCTGAAGAGGATCCGTAAGGGTTTGAAGGACATTCCTGATGCATTCGGTGAGAATCAATCATCTCCACCTTCTTGCAGCTGTTAGAGAACTTTGATCAGACAGACTGCTAATGTTTGGGAGTCAAAGAAGTTCAGACAGGATTGTAACAAAAATGAGACTGAGGATAAAAGTGATACTGAGATGTTTCAGACATTTGGATCAATGGTTACTGCTTTAGTTTAGGTTGGTGCTCTGCTGCAGTCTCTCTGGGTTTCATGATGGTTAATGTTTGCCGTGATCATGTCTGGACACAGATGCTCCCTCCGCCCTGGTCTACAACGCTAACAGTGTGGAGCTAGAAGAGAAGAACATCCTGATCTGTCATGTCTCTGGTTTCTATCCTGCTCCTGTAAACGTCTCCTGGACCAAGAACAACCAGAAGGTGACTGAAGGAACCAGCATCAACGTTCCCTTTCCCAACAAGGACAGCACCTTCACCCAGATCTCCAGACTGGACTTCATCCCTCAGCTGGGAGACGTCTACAGCTGCTCAGTGGAGCATCCAGCCCTACAGGAACCACTGAGCACAATATGGGGTGAGGAACCTTGATCTGTCACCATGTTACACCTGAAGGACCAGTAAACTGGCTGACTCATGTCTCTGTCTGCAGAAGTGGAGCTGGACAGTCCTCAGCCCAGTATTGGACCAGCTGTGTTCTGTGGCGTCGGTCTGACGGTGGGTCTTCTTGGTGTGACCGTTGGAACCTTCTTCCTGATCAAAGGGAACGAGCTGATTGGTCGAAGCTGATGGGTCCAAAGACCTGCCAGTCTTCTGCTGTACCAGTGAAAGGATCAGGACCTAGTTCTGACCCAAACACTGCTCCCCCCATGGTGGATTCTTCTGTTACCTCCTCAGATTCTCTCAGGCCTTCTTTAGGACCCATGGTTAATGTGAACACTATAATCTTTAAATATAAGTTTCTGGATGTTCTGGAACATGTTTCTCTGAAATGCCTCAAAAAGTCCAACTGATGTAATCTTATTTAAAGACAATGAAGGTGCTTTCTTTGGTTTAGTGATTAAATCAACTTCTCTGCTGTCAGACTGCTAAACACTTTATAAATAAATGGGTATTGAAAGCATGTTCTTGATGGACGTCTAAGGTTGTGTTCTAGATGTTCTATAGGAAACTCTTTTGATTTTGACCACAGTAAAGATTTAAATATAGAGTGTTTATATAAAGATTTTACTCCGTTGTTATAATCCCAGCTTCCTGTGTACCTGCATGTCTCCATATGTTTCTCACTGTGCTGCTTTTACACCTGAGCACTAATGAAGAACCAAATACATCTCTATCCTAATCCATATAAACATGTTAATTAATCAGTCAGGTATACTTGCTTATCTGACTTGGTGTTGTGAATTAAAGGTGTAAATAATGAATGGTAAATAGTAGTTATCCATGTAAGGTCAGGTTTTGAGTTAACTATCTAAATGATTACTCAGGGAAACCAACCAGAAGAAGCCCCCCCCGCTGGTAAATGTTTGAGGGGTTTAAAAAATGAAGAGTGGATTCTACCTTCCTAAACAGTTGGATCTGTTTATGTTATATATTCAGAAACACATTTAGACGGGTATTCAGACTGAATTAAAACAACAAAAACAGAATAATGTCTAAAATGTTTGAAATCCCAGACGTCACCAGGTTATAAAGAAATGAAAGAGGAAGCTGGACTGAGAAACACACAAAAACACTTTGGTTAGGAGTCTCCAGATGAACCTGTAGCAAATTGATTTCAACAAAATAAAAGCTAAATTTCGTATTGCTGTAGCTGACCCAGCCATCTATTCATATAATTAGACATTTCAGAACCTTGGAGAGGTGAAGTTTGCAGAGCTCCTGAACTTCCCCAACATGAAGAACTGGAGCAGCACGGTCAGACACTGAGAACTGCTCCACCTATTCAACCAGAAACTGATGGAACAGAACCTGCAACTAAAATGCAGAATTTCCCACAATTCCCACCAAAGAACATAAACATGGAAGTGTTGACCTTCCTGAATAAGAAGACAGAAATCTGCCCCCACAGGTGGGTTTCTCTGAGAATCTCTGCCCCTGCTGCAGAAAGAAGCTTCCAAAGATTGAACTCATTAAAACCTACCAGAGATCTGCTGTGATGCAAAAACGCCTGAGTTTACTTTACATCATAAGCATCAATCATGTGATGTCATATGATGATGTCACAGATCACTTTTCTAGGAGAGTAAAACTGTTGCAGGAGGGGGGTGCAGTATTAAAAAAGCCCAGTAGAGGTCTCTGTAAAATCTTTTTTAGTGACAGTTGTTTATATGCCAGGCTTTGGCAAAGTGGATCATGGAGGGCCGCTGTGCTGTAAAAATGAATGATTCTCTGGGGAGAATGTTACTATGACAACAGAAACAAAGGTTGCAGAAACTCTCTTTGTGAAATGGAAAACTCAGTTTGCCATATTTCAGGTTTAGAAAACTGAGTTTTCATGAAACGGAGCCCTGGAAGGCAACCATGATGGGAGCAACACTCCTGCATGGGATGTACCACCGACAGATAACTGAAGAGGCTGATATGATCAAATCCTACCAATGACTGGGACTTCCGGTGTCATGGCGACTAACATGGCAGCATAGAAAAGAGGTCCTGCATCGCTATATATAAAAGCCCCCTTAATCCAATGTGTTAACGTGTGAAAAGTATTCTCTTTCAAGAAGAATGAGTGGGGATAAAAACAAGAAGGGACGAGTCCAGCCTCGGAACTTAGAAATGCGACACGAAAGCAAAGCTGGCCGAACACAACCAGACGAGGAAGGAGAAAAGATGGCGGATGAGGCCTTGCCTGCTACAATTAGCTCACTAAAAAAGGTGGTGAGTGAAGTAATGGCGGATGGCATGCGGGACCTCAAATCAGAAGTGATGAAGGAGTTAGCGCAAGTGAGAATAAGCTTAAAGGAGGAAATTAAAATCTTATTGAGCGAGCTGACGAACGAAATAAATCAACAGGTTAACGCCGCTATCAACAAGACTGAGGAGATGGGTAAGCGTCTTGGAGAAATGGAAGAAAGCATGACGGAGAAAGAGAGATGGGACATTGGAGCGAGAGATGCTATCGTCCAGCTGCTAAATGACCAGAAATTACTTGTAGGAAAGATCATGGACCTGGAGGGACGCTCACGCCGGAATAATTTACGGATATACGGAATCCCTGAAAATGCGGAAGGTACCTCAATGCAGAGGTACGTGGAAAACATGCTTATAACTGAACTCGGGAACGATATAGATTTGGGCAGTGAGAAGAACCTGGGGATAGAGAGAGCCCATAGGGCGCTGGGTGCGCAGCCTCCGGCCGGGGCTCCACCTACATCCACAGTGGTACGCTTCCTGAAATTCAACGTCAAAGAACAAATTCTACGCGCGGCGTGGAAGAAACCAATATATATACAAGAAAAACGCATATTCTTTGACCACGACTATGCGGAAAACATACAGCTGAAGAGAAGAGAGTATACCCCGGTTAAGAAAGTGCTGAAAGAAAATGCTATCCGGTTCCAAACACCGCTGGCCAAAATGCGCGTACACTTTAGCTCCGGCACGGTCATCTATAACAACGCGGAGGAGGCTGCGCTGGACCTGAGAAGACGTGGATTCACAGTGGGACCGGTGTCTGCAAACAGATCCAAAACCATTACAGCGGAGATGATCAACAAACTTCTGCCCACGGATATGGTGGGATCGCGACGTGTGGGGAGCGTGCCAGGCCTGCGAGAGAGCGCACGAGAAAAACTGAAGGTATTCCAGCGGTCAGGCGGAGAGGACGTCGCTATGGACGAATAACTCTACTTATCCTAACCGAAGAAACATTTGATCACCTCACAGCGAGAGCTCCAGACCAACTAAATATTATCATTCAGAGTGTCACGGGGTGGCCGGCTTTGCACAGGAGTATGGTGAGGACTGTGAACTCCCTTTATAACTGGAGTGA